AAAATTGTCGATTAGTGAGAAACCAAATTTGAGTTCTTGATATAAAGGAAGCTATTATTCGTCCTCTCAATATGGTTATATTTGATTTTAAAACCGATCTTCAGATGTTCTTTAAACAACAGCGAGATCAGAGTGGAAAGATTGAATATTTAAAATATAATACTATGAGAAGAGACAAATTTGTCCAATTGGAAACATTTTCTGATTTAAATCATATCACATTTTACAGAAATGAAAGGAAAGAAAGTATGAGAGTAGTCTTCTTCGATTGGATTTACTAGAAAAAATAGTTGGCTTTATATTTTTCATGTATTGTGGTCCTAACCTTGGAACCTTAGAACTCAAAGACGAACTCAGAGACGAACTCTGAGGGACGCCAAGCATTCACCTGCGAGTTTGTYTATAAGAAGGATGATTTTAACCATATATTATATAGCGTATATTAAATTTGACTCGAAGTTTGTTAGAAACCTGTAAGGAAGCACTAAATTCTGGTGCAACCTAACATTTTATATTCTTGCAACTTGAAGAAATCAAAGTGGTTCGCTCGCTACCATTCTGAAAATTTCGACGCGAAAGATGCACCTCGCTCTGGGCGACCTAGCATTGAAAAAGTCAATGAAAATAAGGAAAAGATTGACCAGGACCGTAACATAAGCAGCCATGACATCTGTTTTGAACCGTTTGAAAAAGGCTGATTGTCTGTGAAAAATTTAWTGAACCGAATTAACATCTGCGGTTCTTTGCTGAAACGAAATGAAATCGAACTATTTATGAAGCGAATGGTAACAGGAGACGAGAAGTGGATCAAATACGACAATAATGTGCGTAAAAGATCATGATTCACGCGTGATGAGCTCAACAAATGGTCGCAAAGCCAGGATTGACGGCTCGAAAGCTTATGCTGAGTGTTTGGTGGGATTGGAAAGGAAGCATCCACTATGAGCAGTTCCAGCCTGGTCGAACGATCGATTTAACACTTTACTGTCAACAACTGATCAGATTGAAGCAAGTAATAGAAAAAACTTCCAGAACTGATCAACAGAAGGGATTTGGTCTTCCATCAGGACAACGCTAGACCACACACATCTTTGATGATTCAAAACAAAACTGGGAAAGCATGGCCAGGAAATTTTGATGCGTCCACTGTATAGCACTGATTTTGTACCATCCGACTGCTGTTTGTTTCGGTCAATGCAGAACTCCCTTAATGGARTAAAGCTGGCTTYAAGAGAAGYYTGTGAAAATTACTTGTCGCATTTTTTCGTCAAAAGATCGGAAAACTTTTACACTGATGGYATAATGTSWCAAGCGGAATAATGGCAAAAAGTGGTCAGCCAATATGTACCATTATTTAGTTCATTAAAGTTCGTTATAAATTTGAAAAAAAAAAGTTTGATTTGAGATACGAAGGCTTTTGTGACTAGCCATGCATGTGTCTGTCCGTGTCTATATACAAGCGGAAAAATCACTTACATTTTTAGGTAGTGATCTGAAATTTCACACATCATTGAAACCACCCATACGAGACCAGTATAGAGTATAGCTACCATACAAACTTACCGATTAAAGTGCAGGTRKAAGTACCMTTTTATACCCTTTTATGCYATAAGAAATGAACGTMTGTAGGGTGTTTAAGCTTCGGTGCAGCCAAACATATATGAGTATGTATAAATCCCTACCTTTGTCAGAACTCAATTTTAATCGCTTCGCAACTAAATCCGGCWTGAAATGTGATTTCAGAATCCTTCAAAAAATTAGAGCTCTTGCTGAAAGTAATACTAATACCACAGGTAACAGGTACTGAAGTGGATGTAAAAGTTTCCAACCAAATCAGCAAGCCACAACACTAGCTACATACATGTAGGACTCCCCCCACAAGGGCAACAGCAATGTCACGGCGCGGCAGCACAAAGTCTAACCAAATTAATGTGCGCACAATGCCTGTCATCAGGTGATTGCCGAAATGGGCRCTGAATTCAGCTTTCACTATGGAATTTGGCGAATATTGCGCTGTCGCTCACCTTTTTCGCATACTTTTTTGTTGCAAATTTTCGTTGTGGTGAAAATTTCGTAAATTTGCCACACAAATTTCAGCAACATTTTGGTCACATTTCACAATGAAATTTGAATTTTGAATTTCGAAAGCCAAAGCATTTTGCATATTATTAACTAAATAACCGAATGGGTGGCCCAACCAATGCATCAAGCGACCAACACATCGACCAGCGAACAGACTACGCATTGTCCTCGTTGTAACWGGCGAGCCACCCTTCACACACACACACCGACACCCACACCGGCAGAGACACAGACGCATGAATGCTGACTGCGGTCGGACTTTGCGTAWTTTATGGCTTTCGAACGAAAAATGCTGAAACTGCCGAATGCCAGCTGCGGTGGCGCCGAGCACAGAATGGCAGCTGTGGCATAGCCCATCTGCATGCCAYAGCGATACACTGTTACAGAGACACCACGTTGCACAAATACGAGTACTCYTACAGTGACTTAGAGTGGTGGCACGTTGGCGTTGGCAGCCGCACAATTGATTCGCCTTTGGTTGTGTGCTGATTTTTGCAAATTTATGATTTGTGCCAACTGATGAGTAGCCGAGTTTAATTTCCTGATCGTTTTTCAATTTAAAATTTTCACKCTGCTACCAGGTTTATGCCGGCTGCGCTTGCCGCGCCCGTTATGCTTAGCGAATAGCGGGATATTTCAATTATTATTGCCAGTTTGACTTTTTTCTTGCCTTATTTTGGTGTTGCTAGTCCGACTTACCACACGCCGTACACCGTTACACCAAACGAAATTGGTTTATCGCGTTGCGCGCGCTGTCATTGTGGCAAACAGTATACTAGTGTGTCATTTGTCATATGTCACGAGTCTGTGCCTAAGTTGCTAACAATAAATACACTCCGCTAGCGCTCAGCCCAGACTCCCGCCGTGCGTGTCACATTTAAGCCACAAACATTTGCATAGCGAAACGCGCCGTCGCAGCGTTATTGCTTGCGCTTGATTGTTGTTTTTGTCATAAACCCAAATGTCAATAGTTGTGCCGTCGCCTGCCGAGTTGATTGTTGTCATTGCTGGGTTTGTTCATTGGTCATTTGGCCATAATTTAGACGCCTCCCTTCGCTGCCACTGTTTTTAATTAYTCATCGCTGTTTTGTGCGCGCATTTTGCACTCATTAGTTCCGAATTGCTGTGCGTTGCATATTAAATTTGCAATTTTCGTTCGACATTTACAAATCTAGTTTTCGAAATGTGTTCAATTACATGTAATGAAATTGGGAAATGTTAGGTTATGATCGAATTCTTTCGCAAAGTTATTAGCGGAGTGGTTAACCCTGCATGTAYACGACTTACAAATTATTGGGATTATGAATAAGTTGACTAATAAAAGCACGCATTTTGAAACAATAACGGATGATGCAAGTAGCGGTACTCCTTTAATATCCGCTTTTTGATAGATCTCGCCTCAGTGTGTCAAGCAGTCTTCAATTTTTGTTCAGTATTATTTGGTATTTCGTTATGGAAAAACTTACACCTGAACAACGTTTAAAAATCGTTCCACTTTATTACGAAATTTCACGTTCTGTAAGGGATGKRTTTTGGGGCTTYKTTCAAATTKTATTCAACATTATAGGCCTATTGAGTATACTATTTGTAACACCATCATCAATTTTGAGACACAGAATGCATTATTGGCACACAGTGAATAAAATGTATAGCAGCCATAGCGGAGCATGTCCACGAAGATCGTGGAAAGTCGATTCGGCACCGTTCTTAGCAACTCGGATTAACGTGTGTAACGACTTGGCGCATTTTATGTCGAAATCTTATATTGGGAATGTACGAAATGCAACTTCTTCAAGAACTGAAGCCACCCGACCTTCCCAAGCGATATCGCTTCGCTTCATGTTGTCTTGAAAAGCTTCAGAGAGACTTTCGAGCCAAATGTAGTTCGGCGATGAGCCTCATTTCTGACTATGTAAGCAAGCAAACTTGTCGCATTTGCGTTGAAGAGCAACCTGAGGAGATTCAAGAGGTGTCATTTCATATGGAAAACAACGATATGTTGTAGTTTATGTACCGGTGGAATTAACGGCCCATACTTCTTCAAAAATGATGACGTTGATAGCGTAACCGTCAATGGCGACCGTCATCACACATGATAACTCACTATTTGATCTCTGAAATTGAAGCTCGTGATCTCTACGGCATTTGGCTTCAACAAGACGGTGCCACTTCCTTTCTTTAAAAAAGTAGGGAACCTTGAAATGGATCACCCTTATATTGTATTATAAGGACTAGTAAAAACAAATAAAAAATTTTTCCGATAGATGACTTTGATAATATACATATATCACGCATAACATTAGTGTGGTTATATCACGCTAAATATCGTTGGAAAGACAAAATTTTGTACCAGAAACACTTTCCTAACAGTGTTTGCTAACTGGTTTATGGCATTGACAACGAATAATCTACTATGAGCTGTTCCTTTGCTGCCGAGAACTCTTAACTCAGATATGCCCTCCCAACGATTTAACCGTCTTGGGAAACCAAACGACCAGAAGAACTCAGCTTTTGCTAATAGTAAAAGAATTGTGTTCTGTCGGGAGATAATCAGATCACMCATATTGATAGTTGCTCACCAGAACATCCGAAAAGTAGTCTGAGAGATTCTAATGTATCCATCTTGTGGCATCGACGTAACACTCAGAATAAGTTCTTGTCAATGGCGAATGTTTTTTCTCTTAAAAATTTGCTGAAGAAGAAGCTTCTGAAAAGCTACTTTCCCAGATTCTTCTTCCTTAAAATTGCCGTAGTGTAACAAGTGACTAATAAAGATTCTTGGTTTTCAGTTACTTAAATCTGGTTTTCGGATAAGAATCATTGATTATAGAACTTTCGATAACCAKTTAACCAAAATTCATTTTTGTCACCCATTTTCTGTCTATAAGAACCATTACCACAAACAAAAATTTTCTAAGTCTTCCTTTTGCTAATATATAAATCGTTTTCCTTTTTATTTGCAGATGTAACAAATTTAGAATATGTGAACGTCGTCGCCGAAGCAGGCAAGAATGTAACAATTCTCTGTCCGGGCGTTTCGGAGCACTCGCTTGTCGATACTTTGGTCTGGAAGACCTCTACAACAACAATAGCACAGTTCGCTAATCGGATACAGCATTTACATAGTCCAAGAGTAAGTAAATAGACCGCAACCTTTATAAAGTTTTTACTGAAGTTTGAAGGCTAAGAATATAGAAAAAGAGAGAGTGATATATAGAGAGAGTGTTTGAAATTAGAAATATAACCAACAAATGAAATGAGGAAAGAATTGCGTTAAAATGAAAATTAAGTTAAATGTGAGTGGGTGTCAAGTTATGTAGCCTCACTGGAAGTGCCAGTACCATTAGACARTGTTGAGTCGAAATACCTACAATTGCGATGAGATGAAGCGCAAGCTTTCGGCATGTCCACACATCCAACGCTAGAACASAAGAGAGGAGCGGAGTACTGACTTGTACCAAACATTTTGAAATGTGGGCAACCGTGATCTCCTTATCAAGCTCATCGCTCTCAGCAGACACCACACAAATCAAATAACAAATTAGCTTAATGCTACTGACAAAGAAGTCAAAGACTCCCAGACTAATTTTAAGCGCACTGTCAACAAGATGATGCCGCTCTCTGAAGAAGGTTGTACATCAGAGCAGTACATCTACTGTTGTCTTGATGGCAGTGGCCTCTGCCTTCCGATCAATAAGCCCCTAATAATATTGGCCACATAGTATTGGTCAGTTTTAACTTTAGTTATCCTTAATTATTTATCGGATATCGGAGTATTTTGACATAGCCACTCTACGTTGAAAACATCCTAAGATTTACTTCTTGAACATTGAGGTCTGCTGGAAAAAAATCTCAAGTGTCTAATTCAAGACAAAAATCCAGKAATATTTAGAATCGTTCACTCAGAACTCACCGAAGAAAATCATGTCTCACTACACAAAAATGTCTAACGTCTTTATACCTTAAATACCCAAAAAGCCTTCATCGCCAACGCATGCAACTCATTTATCCCATTAAATCAACTCCAACGTGGACATATCCCATGTAAGGCTGTCAACTAATACCCGCTGTTAGTTTASCGAGTTACTCGGTAATAGCATTAAGGCGCCAGTGGCGCTTCCTACACGAACTCCACCACTTCCACATATCCTACAGCTAAGATTAGCTGCTGACAGCAACTCGGGCGACGTGTCTTCGTCGCATGTGCTTGAATGTGCGTGTGTGGAAGCGGTAGTTCACCRAAGCCCGTGTACACAAATCATTAGTTTAGTCCATAAAACAAAAGTTAATAGCTTCCCAAGCGGCCGAAGAAAAAACCACCGAAGCTCAAAAATGAAAGAAGGTCGCAGGCAACAACGAAAGCCAGCACGCACGGAAGGAAGAACGGAAGGAACAGTAACAAGCAAAGGTGAGAAGACGCACTTGCATGTTTAAACAAGTTTGCCGGCTGGACGGAGCCGAGCCGGGCCGAGCTGGGCTGGGCCGGGCTGGGCTAAGCTTAAACGGCAGTYCGGGCAGCGGCAAGTATTATAGGCAAAGTTGCAATTGCTGCCGGTGTAAAATAATCGAAATGACTCGAAAGTGCAAAGTTTTTAAGGCGGACCTTGCAGTGGCTACACAACCAAAGCAGTTGCTGTGCTAAGTTCGTATATGCGACGCCTGTAATGAAGGAATGTTATATGTTGGAGGAGAGAGAGAGAGAGAGTAGGAGAGAGGAATGTGAGAGCAGGCTGCTTGCGGTGGAGTCTCCTGCTCAACACTACGAGTATTGCTGCTTTCAATTTTAAGTGTCCCAGTATGCTATTTAACACATGCTTGCCACAGCGCATGCAAACCACATAAAATACATAGAAACATATATATATATATATATATGTATGTGTGTGACCGGAAAATTAAATGCACGTGACATTGGTAGTGTCGTGTGCAGGAAGAATGTCAGCCAAGACTTGCCACTGCACCGTGCAACTCCCAAGTGCACTTTTAAAATAGTTCCTGTTAGGATTTAGTGTTGCAGTTTGTAGATAAAAGGAAGGGTCTCTTCACAAAGGCAGCGTAATGAAATGAAGCCAAGGTAATAAATGTGGCCCAAAAACTTTKAAACCATTTGCCGTAATGATGAACATTAAAATTGTTGAAAGGCGCAAATATACTTATATACTTACACTCCTTTGCTGCGGCTGCTGACCCTGCAGGAAAATTAGAGTAATAGTATGGGCAACAAGAAAGGSTTGCTCGTGTCTGCCACTTGTAATATAAGTAGAGTTCAGTGAATTATATCAGATGGATTTTTGAAATATAACCACTAAATATACTGATCAGTTGTAAAGGGGGATCCATTTCGTGGCTCCATACTTTTCTAAAGAAAAATTTACTATCATTCGAAAGAAAATTATTTTTCATTTATTTTTTGAAGATTATATCTCTCAAGTGATGACCGCCTCTACGTGTCAGATGGTCTATCCGTTGAGTCCAATATTCCATGGCTCGTTCGAACATTTCCACTTGTAACTGGCGAATGACACACGTTGTGGTTTGTTCCAAGGTCCGAATCGAAGCGGGATTGTCCGCTTAGACATAAGACTTTACGTAATCCCACAGGAAAGAGTCTAACGATGTGATATCAAAYGATCTTGGTGGGCAAATGACTGGCCTAAACCATAAATTATCTGTTCACCGGAGAATTCTCTGCAYTGATTGTTGCGATGAKTGMGAAGCGGCGCCATCTTGTTGAAACATAATGTCRCCGGGAACACGATGAARTGGCAGCTGTTGAATCACTTCATCGCTAATAAAATTTGGTTCGAAAAGGTTGCATATTCTGGGCACTTTTCAAGAGCGGATAGGGCGAAGCTTTGTCACTTGGAAAAAACGKGCGGCTTAATATTTCGCATTTTGTATGGTTTCAATTTAGATCTCGAAGTAAAAAAACAATACGCCAAGTCGTTTCATAAGTCAGTTCGACTTACTACAAACGGCGCCGAATCGACTCTCAACGGTCTTCGTGTGCTTCACAGCTACGACTGAAAGATTTTCTTCACTGTGTGCTAGACGTTAAATTTAATCCCAAAACAAGTAAGGAAGGGCTAAGTTCGGTTGTCACCGAACATTTTATACYMTCGCATGATAAAGTGATAATCGAGATTTCAGGCGTGGTTGTGAACCGATTTCACCATATTTCGTACATRTCATCAGGRTGTTAAGAAAATATTATATACCGAATTTCTTATTAAAAGCGGTATTATATCTCCTGATATGGTTTTTGGTCCATAAGTGGGCGACGCCACGCCCATTTTCAATTTTTAAAAAAAGCCTGGATGCAGCTGACATTTCTTCCGTAAAATTTAGTGTTTCTGACGTTTTTTGTTAGTCGATTAACGCACGTTTAGTGATTTTCAACATACMCTTTGTAWGKGAGGTGGGCGTGGTTATTRTCCGAYTTCTTCCATTTTTGAACTGTATATGGAARTGYCTAAAAGAAACGACTCTATACAGTTTGGTTGACATAGCTATAGTAGTTTTCGAGATATATACAAAAAAGTTAGTAGGGGGCGGGGCCACGCCCACTTTTCCGCCATTTTGTGGGCGTAGCAATGGGCCGATTTTGCCCATCTTCGAACTTAACCTTCTTATGGGGCCAAGAAATACGTGTACCAAATTTCATCATGATATCTCAATTTTTACTCAAGTTACAGCTTGCACGGACGGACGGACAGACAGACATCCGGATTTCAACTCTACTGGTCACCCTGATCACATTGGTATATATAACCCTATATCTGACTCTTTTAGTTTTAGGACTTACAAACAATTGTTATGGGAACAAAACTATAGATCTCTCTTTAGCAACTTTGTTGCGAGAGTATAAAAATGAATGCTAGGTCTCAAGATGGGTGATGGTCTTTCGAATAGTACGCTCTGTAGAGCACCTCCTTCATCTGTCAAAGAGAGGCTATTGAAAAAAGTACTTCCATTTGGATCACCCGTTGTTGGTTAATCTTATGATCACTTAACTGATTGTTAGAGCTTTATGATTGATAGATTCTGTGAAGGCGTATCTATTATAATAGGTAAAATTGAGATCCATTCCATATTTATAAATTCTTATATCAATAATATCAAAATATACCTGTACTTGCCGAATTTGAAAACTCTTGAGAAGATTCTTCGAAATACTGATCATAACATCGGTGTTAATGATGTTTCAGTTTCAATTAAGGCGAAATTGAATTTCAGGTGCTGGAGTTTTAGGAAAATAAAAATATGTTATTGATCATAGAAAACCCATAATGCGGCCGATCTTACAGTCATCGCACTGAGTATTTTATATAAGCAGTGCTTAAGACTGGTTGCCGCTTATTCATTTTATACTTGTCAATAATCCAAAACAATGAGTTCGTTTRAGAACGTTTTTCGGATCGATCGCATAATAATTTAGTTATGAAATGAAAGTATGCTCAGTCTTAATAGATTAAGGCTTTCTTTTCGTGATATTTSAGTGATCGCGCTTCAAATATCAATAGTCSAAAGCAATGAGTTCGTATGAGGAAATTCTTTAGATCGATCGTATCGTTATTAAGTTATGAAATAAAGGTATGACCGATCTACTAACTGATCGCGCCGTAAGGGCTTCTTTTCGTTATATAATATTTGAGTGATCGCTCTTTATAAATTTACTGTTTATTCCTAATGAGTTTGTTGGTGAAATATGACTGCTTATTCTTCATAAGTGCTATAAGAGGGGTTTAGAGAGTTTATTGATGATATTCTTTTTTAATTTAAATGATCTATTCTATTTGGGTTTACTAAAGACTACATGTTATAACAACAATTTGTTCGGATATTGCACCGTTGCCTTGCATGATAATCTAAGCCATATTTCGTGAAGATATCTTATCAAGAATAATAGTTTTCCATACAAGAACTTGATTTTGGCCGGTCTAATTATGTGGCAGCTTCGTGGCATTGCAGTCTGATGACAGTAGTTCCGACTATTTGTGTAGAAAAGATCGCATATAAAATCGTGGACCGCTCAGTAAAAGATTGAGGGACTAGTTCGCGTATATACTTATAGCCAGATGGTTAGACTGACCTCGCTAAATGGACTAAGTTCACGCCACTGATCATTTTTACAAACTTTTATAGGGTTTTCGAAGTTTCAACTGGATATAACAAACTTCTTGGCCAGCTTAGTATACCGCGTGGAGAATATAATCGTTGTTTCCCAGTATTTTCCAGTTTGGTTAGATACCTGTAGTGTATGCGTCTGTATCTATATCTATATCATACATGAAACCATGTAGAAGTTTTCATTCAAATAGTAAATTATACTGCAATAAGCAAGTCTTCGTGTGATTGTAGACAGTCTAAAGCTTGGTAATGTCACAGCACTGACGGCACAGGTAGGTGTATGTAAGCTAACTGAGTCAGTGGCGGATTTCTGCCATCAATTATCTTAACAGCTTTCTACTCAACGCTAACTAGCGCGCTCACATGTGCATCCGGCGGTGAGCTTAAGCGCACCATGAGGAGCTTAAATGTACATAAATGTAATTGTGTAAGTGTGTGGTCGCTGATATGAGATGAAGGTGCATGCGCTCGACATACATGGTTATGTAGGTAATTTCAAAATTGTGCTCCAGTTTGCTTTGACTCCATACACGATGACGCCTTCGAGAGGCTACTAAAGCCGTCCAGCCTACTTACCGATATTACCGTTAGCTGGCGCGGCAGCCGCAAGCTGGCAAGCAACCAGGCARCCAGACATTGAGCCAGCTACCAAGCCAAGCAGGCAAGCAAGGCAGTGAGCCAGTCAGGCGGGCAGGCAAGTGGTCTAGTCAGCTAGTTAGCAAGCGAGGCGTGCTAGCAAGTCGGAGCCGTATAACCAGCCAACAGTTGTACGAAACTTTCAAGGCAGCGGTAAATAGTTAATTTTTTCGTTTTGCGCCGCAAACTTTTCGCATTTTGAAATTCCTGCAAAAGCAAGCAAAACCCAACACACACACACACGCGCGCACATATATACAAACATTTGTAATGTCAATAAATATATACATATCTGTGTGTGTGAGATATGTTTGCATGTATGGTTGTATGTTTGTTGCAAGTTGTAATGTCGCTCTCTTCGCCTGCTCTCAAGGCCGTGCGCCAAGCAATCGTTGGCTGCAACTAAGTAATGCTTGCCACAAGCGCGCAAAGGAAGCGAGTGGTGYGGCATTTCTGGCAAATGTAAACGCGCGTATTTTTCTGCTTTGCCATAAAAAGTTTACTCATATGTCTGCCTGTGTGTGTGTGTGTGTGTCTGTGTGTGTGTGTGTGTGTCGTTGTTGCAACTCGACGGGCTTTATCATTTCCCCGCTGCAATTTACTTGTTTGCCAGCTTGTGATTTGCCTGCCGCGCACTTTGCTTGTGGTAATGGCTTTGGCTCTGGCTTTACCGCCGCCAGTGCTACGCGCTGCTTACTACTTGCCACTTGCTACTTGCCAAAGTGTGCTCGGCTTCATAATTAAGGATAAGAGTATAAGAATTGTCGGCGGAAAGTGCAATTGTGGCTTTGCAAGCGGCATAAAATTATTATCGCCGTCGCGCGCATGCAAAGGCACACTCACATACATACACACACACGCACACACACACCCACACGCTCGTTGGTTGCATGAAAAATGACTTGACATTAATTAATTAATTTCAAAGGCAATGTAAAGTTTTCGAACTTGTGCAGTTAGGCTGAGAGCGCGCTGCTGACTTCGGCGGTGCTACTGGATTTGCTCTCCGTGTCGTTGTTGTTCTTGCGTTTTTGAAAATTGACGCGAGGCGCAAAGCGTTTGCKGTTAGTTTGGCAACTTTCATTACTTGCAACATGTTTGCTCGACTATTTGATTATTTTTGCATTCTCCATAAAGTTAAATAGCATATTTATTAATTGCTTAAAGTAATCAGAAATTCATAAGCTCGAGTAGTGGAAGTGCTTGCATGAGCTGGTATTCTTTCTGGAACTCACAAGGTGTTGCATAATGAATATAATACTTTCTTTTTTGAGGCAATTGCTGTAATTAAATGCAAAATTTAATAATTTTARTAATTTGCGATCTCCGACGACACCTTATCCTTAAATGAAA